TATTATAATATATACTGTATATGAAAAGAAATGAACAAAGTGGTACAATAAGTGAATTTCCTCAGCTTATTTCAACATCCTTCCTTATTTTACCATCTTTGAGTCTTAGTACAGCCTGTGCCATCTAAAAGAGGTTACACATTCTAGCATAAGTAAAGCACATTGTTAAGCTATAATTGACGAGAATTAAGATTATTCACATCATCAGCACTCATGCAGTTCTGGGCACTGATACCAAATCAAGAACAAAACCCAGAATCCTTTTATCTGACTCACTTTTAAATGACATATGGATTGAACTCTTGAGAAGTTAGTTCTAAAGGTGATGTGAGTACTTTAACGTTTTTTTTTTAAATGCTTACACAGTTTTTGAAACTATGGCTCCATTTCTCAAAACTCTACACGCAAAACCACAAAACACACACACAACATGCAAAACGTCACACAAATCAAACACTTTTTTCAAAACTATTTTAACTCTTCTAAAAATGTTAGTTTTGTGTAGTAACTCTACACACAAACAAAAAATAATTAGCCACATACACGCCAAACTACACACAGATGTGAAAAAAGTAAAACACTACTCATGTGTGTCTTTTGCTTGCTCAGAGTGCAGTGGAGTGCACAGGAGTTTGTCATAGCACTCGCACATTAATGCATATGCACATATACACTGTATATACAGTATGTAAGTACAATTGATGAATTTTACAGTTATGCAACTGAACTGAATCAATACTGAACTGACGTGAGCTGTATAACGACATATTGACTTGTTAAAGCTGCTTTACAGCAGATTTTGAATTTGATACTATTGTGAAGCTGCGGTGAAACAATCTATATTGTATAAACCCAGTCAACAATTTGATCTCACAATGATGTCACCATGAGCTCACATGATTCTCATGGTGTGGTCACAATGTGTGTGTCACAGTGAGCTAAAAGTGTAACCACACAGCGCACTCACTGTGTGCTCATACTATGTTCGCAATGTGAGGTCACTGCACACTCACTGTGCGCTCATACTGTGGTCACAATGTGAGGTCACTGCACACTCACTGTGCGCTCATACTGTGAACTCACAATGATTTCATATACTACTCACACCGTGAGGATCACAGTATGAGGATAGTTTGAGTTCACAATGAGCTCCCCTATTACTCACACTGTGAGGGTCACAGTATGAGGATCGTTTGAACTCACAATGTTTTCATATACTACTCACACCGTGAGGATCACAGTATGAGGATCGTGTGAACTCACTGTGATCATCGCATGATCTCACGTGTTGACTGGGAAGCGTTTTAG